AAGAGACTAAATGTACAGCAGGGAATTAAAAATTACAGTACCCCTTTCACTGACTGAAATATTGTAAACTTGTTTCACTGGGGCCAGGACTGGTGTCAATGTACTTTGTGTGAAAAGTGCAATAGAAGCATTAGTATTTGACAGCCCTGGTTGAAATAAGTGAAATTAATGGAGCTCTTTTCATATACGACAAGGCCATGGCACCCCTTTCATGCTGCTTACAGACAGAGAAAAGTCAATACTTTTTTATTACTTGATGCTGACCTACATTCTGCACTACAAGTGCCAGGCCCACTAATTGGTTTCAGTTGTGAGAAAAGTTTGCCCCAAAGAAACACTGGAGCAGATAAATCAATCTTTTTTAGGGTAGCTTAGTGGGTTTTGAGCACTTGAAATGACATTTGTGTTGTATTGACAGAATAGGTTGTTACACTCATTTTGTCATGTCAGAAGGCCCTGTACTAGTTGGAAGTATTGTTAACCAGTATTGATAAATTTGCTAAGAATAAAAGTTAGCTGGATCAACATTTTACTTGTATAACAACTTGCCATTTCTGGTTTGCTTCCTTGTTAGTGACCTCCGAGGCTATTAATAGGTCAGGAGGCTTACTGTGACAGCTCAATTTAAAACTTTAATTTTGCTATTACAAGCATTAGGATCATAGGGAATACTTAAACATGACCACTTAGTATTAAACAGAAGGAATTGTGCACTATGATGATACAGTGGCACTTGGCAGTACTGTCTGGTTTTCAAATAAAGTGTCCACATGAGCTGTGCCTAGCCTTTTGGGGAAAGCTTACCCTACACTAAGGACATAACTACTGCACAGACATTTATTCAGAATTTCCCATTGCATTCTTTTAAGTCTTGATGTTTACCTGTGGATGTTGATTTCAAGCTAAAGAGTGAGTTAGAGAAGTTATACAATTTATCTTTAAAACTTCTTCACATGCTACTTCTCCTAACCTATGAAAGAAATCTGCATTCATACAACCTAATGAAACTTTTATCTCCATTTATGCAACCAAATCTCTATTTATGCAACAAAATGAAATGTTGTAATTACAGAGAAAGACTATGCAAAGCTGTTAATCAGGTATCATAAGTTTCTAATAAGCTTATTGTCCCAAGTTTATCACATGCTTAACAGCTTCATAATTATTACAGACTTGATAGATTTTCTGTAGGAAACTACCCAAAGGGTGTATATGGAAGCTGAGAATAAATGGACATAATGGTACTTTCTGGCCTTAAAATCAGGGAATAGATATGCTACTGCTGTTTGCCTATTCTTGCTTTGGTCCAAAGCAGCTGACTTTCTACTTTATTAAATTTCCAAGAAGATACTTAATTGTAACTCCTAGCTCATTCCAAAGTGCATTTTTGTATTGCAAGAGATTGTACAATACTCTCAAAATTGTTTGGAAAGAAACACTATTAGTGCAAATTTATCACTAGAATGTGAGGGAAAGCATTTTCAAAGGCCTTCAAACTGATGTCCAGGTCTACAAGGTCTTGTTGGTTTGCCCATATTATTTGTACATTATCTGTACTTATGTATGTCTGCATACTCAGATGTAAAATCTCTTTAGAAGTTGCTTTAATAATGACATTCCAAAGATAAACTATGTGAGCATTTGGCAAGTGTAATCTATTGCATCAGAGTGTGCTGATTGAGACAAATCTTTGCTGACTTTATGTCACCTTTTTTGACTCCATTGTTTAGAACTGATGAGTACACATGACAGTCAAGTAGTCAAATGTATTGAAAGGGTCCATAGGTCTTGTTAAGCTCTGTCAGTTAAACTTGAGTCACTTACAATTTACTAGAGTGAAAGGAGTCAAAGCTTGACAAGTTTAAAAAGGAAGTGTTGTATTAACTACATTTGGGAATTTTAAAATAGGTCTCGATCCTGAAAATTACAGGTCTCTGATGCTGAGAATTATATGGCATAATTTAAGAATGCATTGTGGAAAAATTCCATACATCTCAGCACCATGCTCCTATGATCCTGACATTGCAAAACTGTAGGGTCAATCTCACCAATATGTGGGAATTCATAATTGTAAGCTAATTAATTCCAACCACCAACAATGAGGGGCTGACAGTGAAAATAGTTTTGAAGAAACAGTTTTTTTCTCCACGGAGAACTTCTGTTCTTGCAGCTTCAAAAGCTTTATCTACATAACTTCCTAACTTCTATGCTATGTAACAATTGGCTTAAACTCAAGAAGATCATGACAGCCTACCAGAATCAGCCAGCACTGCATTGCAATGTTTCACTGCATGATTTGGACCTACATTTCACCATCAAATTACACAGATGTAAGAACATGGCTTGCAGTTCCTTTCCCTTTGTGCTGCTACAATGGTACAGTGGGATAGACTCTCTTCAGCGCTGTGAAATAGATCTTGCAAGGCCAAGTGGTATTTTCAAGCCTTACTTTCTCACGCTATTGAGACCTGATTAAAATCTGTATTTTCAAATACAGAAATGTCTGGGGTTCTTTTCCTAAAAAGAGATTTTTATTTTACATGAATACTGTGCAACATTTACCTAGTACACATTCTGAACTTCTTTAGTTACTCCAACTGTAAAGCCAGCAGCACTTCTATTTATCCATCAGACTGTATGATGTTTCCTAAATGTGGTCAAACATAACTGCTGTCGTCATAATCAGAGCCAGTTGTTTAAATGCTCAGTTGTGAGTATCTAGTGAAATAGCTTTAAATAACAAGATAAACAGTACAGCTGCCAACCCAAAGTAATCTTACACTGAGGGGGCGTGTGGCACAGAAAATTTCCTCTTTGTCATTTTGATTTGAGTTTGAAGCTGGACCTGGGCTTAGTTCCAGCTCAAAAAACTGTTCACTTCAAAGGCTCCTAAATCGTCCCAAGGAGCTAATTTTGGCAGCCAATTGTTTTTGTTTGGCCAGGCATCCTAATAGCAAAAGCCGTCTGCTCCAGCAACTGAAGAATTCTTCAATGCTCAGAGTTACCATTCCTGATTTTATCCTGATGTGGGGGGTGTACACCTTTTACAGGTTTCCCTGTCTCACCCCAACTTCACTGCTTTTTTTGTTAAAATGTAGCTAACTGTCCTGCATGTAAATTAAAAATATACTTCCTATTTTCAAAATAAAGGATACTGTATTCTACTCTGAATTACTGCTTAATCCTAAATTATAACTGTATTATCTGTTTGCTTTCTTGGTAACTAGAGCTGGATTGTTGATTTTTTTTTTACATTCCTATGAACAATATTAGCCTGGTGAATTTACTGAATTGAATATAACTAGCTTCACTTTAGAAGCTTCACTTCACAGTTATGCTGGAGTTAAAATAATATTTATTATAATGATTATATGGACATATTTTCCTGTGGTAAGAAGGTGCTTGTGATGCCAAGCACGCAATGAAAATACTCCACCATTCTTAAAGTACCATAGGAAATACGCAAATAGGCTGTTTCTCCTGGGTAAGAAATCGGGCAGTACAAGGCATAGAGAAATATTAAAAATTAAATCTTGAGAACAGTTAAGAATGGGGCACTATTCACTTTCACACCACACAGGGAGTATTTAATTTTGAATGTATATGTCTACCTTGCTATTTTAAGATTTATGCACCAGAATGTTGGAGGAATCATACCAAATAACTTTAAGTGTGAGTTGTAAGAAATGATATGGTCAGAGTTTGGCAATACCAAGTGCAGATGAAACTCAGTTGGGCCATGCCAGTGCTTTCATGAAGCTTACCAGAAGTTGTAGTTGCTCTGTCTGTTCATGGAGATTCAGCTGAACTGTGGTCTGTGAAGCAGCTAAATCTAAATTATCCAGGGAATGTAATTTTTCAGGAAAAAAAGGTTTTCATTCTGTTTTTGAGAGAAACCCAAACCTTTCAAATTGTAAAATGTGTTGAAAAAGTAAAAAATTTAGCTTTCATTCACTCATGGCTTCAGATATTTTATGAAGACATTGTATTTCCATGCACTTTCACAGAGCATCACGTTGACAACAGAAAGCAGTAGGAAGTGTTCAGACCAAATTCTTTCTTAAAAATGAACCAACAGATCCTGGAAAGCTGATAATTAATCTCTGGCATGTTACTTTCAGAAAGGGAAACCAATGCTAACGAAAAACAAATATTGTGTATTGCTGATACTATTGCCAGTATTTTAGGGTCAGATAAAATAATTTTATTAAGAATGCTTTAAAACCTTTATCTTAAGCACCACAGACTTGCTAATCATTTACCATAAGCATTTATTAGTAGTTAGCTAAATCAAAATACTATTTTGAATACTCAGCTTACTTTAGTTTCTTATTTCTTGGCCATATTAACATTGTACTCTTAAGGCACAGGTTCACTTGCGTTTCTCTTATTAAATTTAGATTTGTAAGCATTTGTGTTTTAAAAAAAAATTAGTGTAGCAACCAAGAACTTTTCCTGCAAAAAACATGTTCAGGAACCACCCTGCTTTTATTTTTTCTACCAGAACTCCTAATCAATTTGTTGCCACTAATACTTATCTACTATATATTCATTGTTGTACCATTTCTAATGGAGATAGTTTAATATCCATGTTTGAATGTTCAACAAGGTAGAAAGGTTAAAATATTTCAAAGGTATCTTACTGTCTTTATCTTACCTGGTTGCCAGAGAGGAGAATATAATTTTGTATACCATGATTTGGAAAAGACTGTAAAATCTAGTCTTTGGAGCAGGAAATTTGTGCCTACAGTTACTTAGAATTTGAAATACATATTTGCTTGCAATTAAATAATTCAATTCTCATACTCTTCTTCAAAGCAATGTACATATAATAACATATGTTTCATATACATTATTTTGTATCATTCACTTTCTAACTCATATAATGAAATTTACCTATACCTATAAGACAATATTTAGAGCTCTAAAATACCTTAAAAGAAAAAACTGAAACCAGGAAAGCCAAACCTAATCTTCTTTTGTCTCTTTTGTTTCTTTAGGACTTTCAAACAGTGTTGCCATCGATTGTTCTCTTTGAAAAGTTTGGAAAAACTTATTCCCCAACTGGACAAATAGTGTAATCCTCCTGTAAGCTACGCAATGTGAAACACCTGATAAGTAATCAATAAATGTATTTCTGCAAATGCACAGCAGTTTGTTGACTGAATGTCCCATAAAGTACTCTTTCTGTAAAGTGATGTATACTGTGTCTGAAGTAGTGTTAAGTGATTTTACTTGATCTTTAAGCAGTACAGCTTCCAACATTAATAAAAATGGTTTGGTCTTTAAAAAAAAAAAAAAAAATAAAAAAAAAAAAAAATTCTGTATTTTGTCTAATGTAAATCCTTTAAGATACAAACCCAGAGTTCTCAAGTAAAAGACTTGGAACCACATTGTATTTCTTTCAGATTTGTAAGTGAGGTTAACAGTAAAAAAAGAAAAAAAATAAAAGTTACATCTATTGGGTTTTTTCTCACAACTATAAATGTATCTAGTTCATCATTGTTGTTCATAATTTTCAGTTTTAGTATACATACTTTTTGGATACTGATCCATCTCTTCAGAAGGACAGGATAGGCTATTTACATAGAATATACTATTTTAAATCATTTTAGGTCTTCAATGGTATGCATGGTAGGCTTTGTTTTGTCTAAAAAAAAATAAAGTTCTAACATACACACCTCATTAATAGATCAATTTTTCTATATCCACTTAATTTTCTTTATCAATAGCTGTATATTTATGCCTAGTCCCATGTTAAGCAGATTGATATGTGGGAACATACAAAACTGATATTTGTTTGCTGTGTTCGATTGCATGCAATCCTGCAAAATAGTTTCATCAGAGCCCAATAGCTTCAAAAGACTCAAAGAATTCAGCATCATGGGAAGACTTCAACATTTCTTAAGAGCAAATCACAAGCTAATTCTTAAAATTATGTGAGTGAATTTTTACAAGAGTTTTGTGCTGAATTCTCTAGTATACCATGTTTGCTTTTTGTATCATCAGACTATATTTGAATCAAATATATCTGTTTATAATATTCAAATCAGTTAACTCAATGGTAGGCTTTTTATTACTGAGTTTTGTTATGTGATTCTTTTGTCCTCTACAAATGTGCAGAAAACCTCCATCAGATGCCTGTTTGTATGAATACTTTCTGAAGTAAGAGTCATAAATTTCGCTTCCGCAGGTTTTCGACTGTCAGCCTGCGTGAAAACTTTTACTGCTATCATACACAAGAATAAAAGCACTTTCAATTCCATTACAGTAGGTTATGAATGCGGGCACTGGGCTGTAGTGTTGTTACTTTCTGGAGTTTGTAATTTTCAAGCTTTGAAAAGTTTATTCATCTGCATGGCAATTAGAAATTAACTCTGGGAAGTGAGAAGCAGCCACCTCAATACCTCAGTCTCCCCAATAAGAGTTAATCTGATCAAATGTATCCGAGTGCTTTAGTTGTTCATGGAAGGGATTGAACATGAAACACTTGTGCAAAACTGTTGATGAATAAAGATGCCACAGTATTTTTTATATATGAGAGCTATCTATTTGATTGCTTCAGCTTTAAGGTAGTTCATTACAGTAATTCACCCTGTGTTGCCTCTTTAACTTCATACCACAGTTTCCCATCAGTCCGATTAGAAATGGCAATACCTTTATCAGATTAATCTTTCTTTCTCTTTCTTCCTTGCAGTATCTCTGACCCCAGGACAAAACAAAGCCTACCATGCATACCAGCGCTCTGTGGGTGACAGTGCTCATAGCTAAGGGTCTAGAGCACAGATGGAGGTTAAAACCAACACTTCTAATTTTAATTGTTTGATACATACACAATTCCTCCTCTTAAGGAAAAAAAAGAAACCAGAATTTTTTGTTTCTAAGCAGCTAGCTTCTTCCCAGAAACCTTCTTACACAAAACCAGGTCTGTTCATTTTATCAGATAAACAAAATTCCAGAAAATGAATAAAGTAACAACTTTTATTACCTGCCAGGTTTGGGTTTTGGGTTTCTGCTGCCAATTTCATAGGGAATCCAATACTTTTATTTAACTGGAGTTCACACAGGATTTATGTCATTCGTAGGCATACGATATAACATCGAAACTATTTTGTGCCGCCACACTATAATCTCAGAATCCCTTCATTTCTTATTAAGTACATTCAGCATTTAGTCAATACATTTATACAAACCAGCTTATAATTATTCTAGAGGGACCTTTACCAATTCTTCAATTCTGTAGAGACTTTTTATTATTTTTCTTACTCTCTTAAACTACACATAAACACATCCAGAGAGTTAAGAGAGGAATAGCTTGAAGATTTTTTAAATATGAAAGGATATCAAAAGGATATCAATCTATGAAACTTTAGATGGCTCTGGACTTTTGGGTTGTTTTTTGGTTTGGTTTTTATTTTTAGTTTTAACTCCCATCTGGATGCTGCAGAGGTCAGGACTGTTTGCAAGTATGGGTCTAGAGAACCTACCCATACATTTTTTCCACATATGGATGAGGCTGATTGATAGAGAAAACTCCCAATATTAAAAGCAACAGCTAGTAATAATTTAAGAACACAGTCTTGGAATACCTTCAGCATGTTTGACTTCCTTGATTATAAAAGAAGCTCAGAATACATAGTATAGCTCAGGGGACACCAAGTAGGTTTTTATTATGTAGAGAAATTGGACATCATGAACGATTAAAAAAATAATTTAGAAGAGAGTGCTAGCAATCTGCAGTATATAGGAAAGGAGATAAAATTTAAATTTCAGCCTTGGGGTAGACCAGATTTCTTTGACTCTGAGGTAGACTACCACTTCCATTTGGTAACCCTATGTGGCAAGCAAGTGCATGTATCTGTCTGAAAAAGAAAGTTTTGTTTTGCTCTCTTGTTTAAATCAAAATGTTTGCATATTTTTATGTATAGGTTTTATATAAAACCAGTTAAAACTAAACTTTTCATATTTTTATTCACTGCAATATCTCTGTCTAGTGAACAAGACAGTAAGAATTCTGATTATTTAGTTATGTAACCATTCTTATTATCAATGTAAACACTAGGTGATTGTGCAAGTGATTTTACTTTACTCCTGTTTATCATTTTTATTGATATAGTTTACTGTATTGCTTTTAATTATCAAATTAATTCTTGTAATATATTTTTAATATTTTATTTGTTGTAGGTTTGCATTACTAATAAATTAGTTGATTTATAACATTCCAATACTTTAGAGAAGATATTTCTGGTTTACAGGGGATGTTACAATCTATTCTCACAATACAAAATCTTATTAACACAGTATGGGTATAGATAGAGGCACCAGAATAGGAACACTCTGAAAATTTGAAATGGATTTATGGACCTTGATGAGTCTGAAAGATATGCTGCCTCTTAGAAATGTAGTTGGCTATGGCATTTAGCAAACTATTCACAGTAGTATCTAAAAATCAAAAAAATCACTATGATGCCAGATAAAAAGACAAATATAAGAAGCTGTGTATTGGTCTTCAGAAAAAGAAGTGTCATTACCCTAATTGCTCCATTAAATGTATTTCAGTCTGTTGTAGTTGAACAAATGTGAATAGTAAAACATATTTAGCCAAACTATACCAGAGTGACCTGGTTGCTGTTTTCTGCAGTAACAAAATACGGTCCTCAGCATGGAGCGAGACATTAACGATTCTTGTTTTTCAGCCACAGAAACACAAATAATTTTTGTGGTTTGGACTGATTTAGTCCATGTGTATGGAGGAAAAAAATTACCGTTGAGCTTTTTCATACTGAGTGGCTGAAGAGGCTTATCAAACACCTTTGGGAAGCAGCACTTACTGGGAAGAACCTGTCATACCACCTCACTAGCAGAGTATCTCTGATATGTCACTTTGATACCTTTGTCTAATGCATAAAAAGCCTAGAATGTGATACTTTGATGTCCACTGATATGTGATCAATTGGTATAGATCATAGATCTTGAGAGAGTCAGATAATAATATAATTTCTTTCTATATCAGATACATTGACCTACCTGCCGGGTGCTAAGGATTCAAAGCCTCTATGCTAATGATCAACAGTCTTTGGGTTTAACCACCACTGGGGATCACATCACTCATAAAAAAGATGTGGGCAAAGTCATTAAAATGGAACAGTAATGTGCTAAAAGTTGCTTACAACATACCACATCATGAGAAGTTTCAGGGGTATTATAAAATGTCTGGTCACATCTTTTCTTACCAAAACTATCTGCTGTTACTCAGTGGATTAAGGATCTTTCAGTGTTGCTGTCCAATAATTCTGTTTGACTCCTACATAGCTGATGTTGTAAACACAGAAAAGCTCTTAATTTAGGTAATTTAAGAAATACCTTCTGGGCTGATCCAAGATGTTCTGAACACTTGTCAGAGAAAACATTTAGCTTGTAATGCCCTCTAGAGGCAGAACTGCTGTAATAGTGTTGGCCACAGATTTACACTTTTCTGGTCCAAATGTGATGCTGTAGCACTCAAGCAGTAGCTTTTTTTTTTTATTTTTTTTTTTTTTATTTTTTAATTTTTAAATCAGCTACACTTCACATTTCTATAGGGGCAGAGTTCTAGAACCACTGGGGGCTTTGGAACTGATCTAGATGCCTCATTCCAGACTTTTACTGATGTTGTCTCCAGCTGAGATGTGGCCATATCCAAACTGCAAAGCAAAATGGAGACAATAAATAGAGTAAACAATAAATAGAGTAAGCAATAGTAGAGTTTGACATTCCAGCTCTTGATGTTGAATAAGACTCTGAAAGCATCAAAACTAAAAAATATTTCTAACAGTTTACTGTTATTCCAAAGGACGTGTTTGTAATATGCCTTTCATAAATCTGTGGTCCTCAATTTAATGAATTTAGATGTTCTGCATAGTAGAGTTTGTTAGAAGGATGAGGAGCTCTTTTACTGGCAGCCATGGGCTCTTATACTCAGAATAGCAGAGACTGAAAAGCAGAGAATGTGCGTAATTCCTTAATTTTAAAATCTAGATTATCCCATATTAAAACAGAAACATTAACCACAAAGGAGTCATATCCATGGTCACATTCATGT